GACCCAAGCGGATTTGCCACGCGATGTTTCGGGCGCGGCGCCCCAGAAGCAACAGTCTGGCAGGGTCCTTTCCCATTCCGCCACCTGCCTGTGGCGCAGCCTTGACCGCGCTCTCGCAAAGAAAGGGAGGAGCCCTATGGGCCTCACCCCTCCCGTGACTTTGGCGAGGAAAACAATTAACGTCTCTGACATTTGGGGCCGAGCCTCCCCATTGGAGGAGGGGGGCGTGCGGGCCAGACGGGGAGTGGCGGGGGGGCGCTCGACCCAGCGCGGATGGAAGCAGCCCCGTCCCTTCGCAGTGCCGGCCTGGCAGGTGCCCGGCACAGACCTGACCTTGTCGGTTGCGAAGGCTGGGGTCTCAGGCTCACTCGATACTCGAGCTATAGGACAGCTGCAGAGGTGATACTTACAGAAACCGATTCAGAATCATCAGTCGCATTTGTCTACTGAATCCAGAGCTCTGAACTCGGTCTGCTGCTCGATCTAGAATCGCGAAACTATTCGTATTGCTCGAGTCATCTTGAGAAGTGCTCTCCCGCTCGGAGGGGTGAATTTCGTGGCCCCTCGCTGGCGCGACCCGGAGCTCTGCCCAGTCGCCGATCATCGCAGGGAGGGCGTCACGCCCCGCGGCAGGAAAATCCCACGGTCGAGGTCGGTCGGCCGACGGAGCCCCCTTTCGGGCCCTCAGAAGAAGAGCGGTGGGCCAAGATATGGCCCCATGGGCGAAGTCGACGTCCGAGTGTTCCCTCCAGCTCTGTAGAAGTCGGTTAGTGGAGAGGAAGCGTGCTGCCAAATCACTTCCAGGTGTCCAGAACATGTTTCAAACATGTTTATAAAACAAATAAAAAACATGTTTGAAACGTTGTCGGAACATGTTTCCTTTACACATTTCAAACGTCTTTAACTCAATGATCGGATTGTTAGAGTGTCCATTGTCATGGCATCCACAGCTCCAGCTTTGCGCGGCGGCGGCGGCGTCCGAAGCCGTTTGCGCAAGCACTTGATCCTGGATGCATTTACAGACCTCGGCACGGGGGGCGGGGTGTGCAGCCCCTCTAAACGCTCTGAAGCAGACCAAAGTCGAAACCCGCCGCCCCCCGCCCAGTTCAAGCAGTCCCACGCATCCCCGTATCCAGTGAGCATTCTCACCGCGCTGGCTCTCTGCTCGATCTGCGGCGGTGAGCCCTTCCCATCCGCTCGTAGCCATTGCGTGGCCCACCTGCGGACCGACGACCGCTCCTGCGTTAAATGACTGGCTCTTCTTCTGAGGCTCTTGCCCCGCTGGCAGGCTAGCAGCGCCTTTTCCAGGCGGCAACCTAGCTCTCGACCGCAGTGCCGCGATCTCTCATGCCTCGGGATTTCGAGGAAAAGACAAATCCACTGCTCCGCTGAGGTGAGCCATCTTCTGGCGGCGGAGTCGAAAGACTCATCGCTGCAGATGTGAAACTCTGTCCACTGCGAGACGTCGCCTGACACGAAAGGTTGCCCTGAGACAGGCATCTGGAAATTCTCCTGCTTGACGCGCCCGCGGGGGAAGTTGCATCCTCCCAGGCCCGACGACCGATGCGCGACTCCACGGTGAGGGCCCGCCGGTGCGTCCTGGATCACGCCCGCCGACTTCGCAGAAGGAGGGAGGACGTCGCTCAGGACGAAGAAATCGTAGCCGGAGTCGTTGCACGTAAAAACTCCACCGTGCACCACTTCAGCGTGCAAATGGCTGAGGAAGCCTGCTGTCAAAAAGGTGTCGCGACCGAAACGCTCCGACTCGATGTTCCAATCGCCTGCGACAATGAAGGGCAAGCATGGCGAACGAAGCGCCTGAAGAAGCGACGCGAGCAGCTCAGCGTTGCCCGCCTGGCCCACGCTGCAGATGCCGTAGATCGAAGTGAACGGCACCTGCATGTTGCCGAGCATCGCGCGCTGGAAGAACAACCTGCCCTTGTAGTGCTCGTGCTTCGGCTCGTAGGCGCTAGCCGCCGACGCGGTCGAGCTAGCGACGCCTACTCCACTGGGCGCGGCATTGCGACCCTCGCCCGTGATCTCGCAGCCATTGGCGAGGAAGCGGTGGCCGTGAGCCAGGGCCCAGGACTGGGCCCTCTTGAGCTGCTCTCCGAAAATGAGCCTGTGTTCCTGGAGGAAGAAAAAATCGGCCCGGCATCCTTTATCACGCGCAAGCCTTTCCACGAAGGACTGCTCCGTCGACCGCGCGTTGCCGTCGTAGGTGACCGGCGTGAGCTCGCTGCTGCCCTCGGCCTGGCTGGGCGGCGCGCCATCCGCTGCCCGCCGCAGCGAGGCCGCCGCCGCCGGTGCCGAGGTGGTGGCCGCAGGTGGACTCGACGGCCAGGTCGAAGTGAGATCCCCAGGCACGGCGCGCGACTCCAGCTCCTTGGCATCGGTCAGCGCCTCTCCGTCGGCGCGGTCGCACGAGCGCAGCTCCGCGCAGCAGGGTCTGACCAGCCCTCCGTGCGCGACTGGTCGCATGGCCCTTGACTGAAGTCGGGCCTGTCCCTCTACAGGGGGAATATTCAAAAATCGTTAAAAAGTCGGGGGACGATTTTTAAACTATGTTTGAATATTTTTTGGGGGTATTTGTTGGGTATCTTTAATTTTTCGCCCAAAATCCCCCTGTAGGGGGACAGGCCCGACTTAACCCTTGACTGAGAAAGCGGGGGCCTCGAAGGCGACGGTGTGCTCGGCACTGCCCCCCTCGCCCTCCGAGCGCGTGGAACAGCGCGAAGCCGAAGTGCACGCTGCGCATGGGTGCTCGCATTCTCCAGCGATTCACCTGGGAGGAGGAGGAGGAGGAGGAGGAGGAGGAGGAGGAGAAGGAGGAGGAGGAGGTGGAGGAGGAGGAGAAGGGTGAGGATGATGCTGAGGAGGAGGCGAGACTCCCTCGCGGTCTCCTGCGCCGCCGCCGCCCGACGCGGGGCGCGTGGGGGGCTGCGAGCTCCCAGGTGACTCCACTATCTCAGGATGTTCCCTCGCGCCCCTAGACGCAGCGCGCGGAGGAGCAGAAGTGGCCGCCCTCGAACTCGATCGCGCCCTCCTGCAGCCTGCAGTGGACGACAAAGCCTGGGGCAAACTGGATGCCGCATCAAACGTGCCGGCGCAAGACTCGTGAAAGAAATCGAACCTGGCACCCGAAAAGAACACGTTCTGGGTGAATGGCAGGAACCTGGAAGCCTACTCCCCAGTCCGTGTCACTGACCTGGTTGTTGAAATTGACCAGCCGCTGCAAGCCCAAGGAGACTGCATGCAGCGACACATTGTGGAAGTGACCCCCCGCTGCAAGGCATAGCCCGAAGGGGAGGAGGAGGAGGGGGAGGGGGAGTGGGAGGAGGAGGAGGAGGAGGAGGAGGAGGAGGAGGAGGAGGAGGAGGAGGAGGAGGAGGAGGAGGAGGAGGAGGAGGAGGAGGTGGACGCGAGAGACACGTGGAAACACTTGACAAACGCATGCCCGCTGAGACGCATGTTGGATACCCCCCCTGCGCGAACGTATTTTTACACGTCGAATTCAAACGCCTGTTGCTCGACGCCCTTCCCTTGCCGAGAAACGTAACGATGGGGCAGAATCCTCTGTAACTTGCAGTGTCCCAGGGAGTGCCGATGATTACGGGGGCGGCGCTGTAGAGTCTATAGTTTTTTTCACGGGGAACATCTGTGGTGTGAGCTACGTGGTGTAAACTATTTCGTGCAATGTATGTGGTGCAATTTTTCTGGTGTGAGCTGAGTAGTGCAACCTATGTTGTACAACCCATTTGTTGAAATTCACTTGTGTAGCTCGCACTTGTCAGTTCCACTGCTCGCGCAGTCATCCCACCTACCCACCCGCAACTTGGTTTGCAAAACCCATGCGGCGGCGACTGCGGTGAGTGCTTGGCGTTGGCTGGTGCATCTCTGTGGCCGCGCCAGCCCGCGCACGCACGCGTGCGCAGCGGCCAGCTAGTTTGGCGCGACCGACGCGGCCGCGGTGGCGCTGACCGCTGAGCACATCCCAGCGGGCACCTCAGTGCGAGTCGGAGACTTGGGCGGGCGCGGTATCATGGCAACGTCGACAACGGCAGACAAGATGATGATGGTAGCGATGCCGGTGACGATGCTGACACCGACGACGGCAAGGCCAGTGACGGCGCTGATGCTGATCGCGCCGGCGAAGATGGCGGCGTCCTCGCGTCGGCGATGAAGGTTCCGGAAGGAGTTCGACATGCGCGCGCGGCCGACGCGCGAGAGTGGCCGCGTGGTGTTATTTGACACGGATCGTGCCCTCCAAAGCACGCGCGCAAGGGCGTTCGAATGATGTCGGCATGCGGCGCGAGAGGCCCGTTTGGCAGAATTCAATGAACACGTTGAACAACCAATGCTCGTCTTAAGAATTCCCAAGAGCGCGAGCGCAGGCTTCATTTGAATACTTATGTTGAGCCACCATTTGATTTGATACAATTTCGGGGTACTCGGTTTTGTCATCCTTGCGAAACCTGAGTTTTATGTTTTATAGATAAGGTTATTCCGGCCGTGCTGACGATGACGATGATACTGACGATGACGATGACGCCGATGACGACGAGAAGGAAGCGGATGATGATGAGGATGAGGATGAAGATGATGATGATGATGGTGAGGAGGAGGAGGCGGACGACTATGATAATGCAGCTGAGATGATGAGGCTGATGCTGAGGATGCTGATGATGCCGATGATGGTGGTGGTCGTGGTGGTGATGATAATTCTGATTGCAATGATGCTTATGATGATGTCAGGGATGGTGCTTATGGTGATTATGTCGATGACGTCGATGACGGTGAAGATGTGACTACGATGATTCCACCGACGCTGGTAATGGCGGTGGTGATTATTGTGGTGATGATGGTGGGCAGAAGGGTGAGGCAGAGAGGAGTTGCAGGAGGAGGAGGAGGAGGAGGAGGAGGAGGAGGAGGGGGAGGAGGAGGAGGAGGAGGAGAATTAAGGAGAGGAGGGATGCAGAGGAAGATCCCTCCCCCCCGAGGCCAGCGGCAAGGGGAAAGGCGCCGGGCTGACAGCTCCAGCTGGAGCGCCAGCCTTCACGCCGATGAGGCCTCGGCGCGGGGGAGGGTCAGAGAGAGGAACAACATTCTGACGACGAGGAGGGGGAGAATGAGGCGGAGGAGGGAGAGGAGGAGAAAGAGGATGAGAAGGATGATGCTGATGCTGATGCTGATGATGATGATGATGACGACGAGGAGGAGGAGCAGGACGAGGAGGAGGAAGGATGAGGAGGAGGAGGAGGAGGGGAAGCAGGAGGAGCAGGGTAACGGTGAGGATGATGCTGATGATATTGATGATGCTGATGATGAGGATGAGTATGAGTATGAGTATGATGATGCCGATGATGATGCTGATGATGATGCCGATACTGATGCTGCTGACGATGATTATGCTGCTGCTGCTGCTGCTGCTGATGATGATGATGATGATGATGATCATGCTGATCATGATGGTGGTGAGTTTGATGACGATGGTGACGTTAACGACGATCATGCTAATGGTTGTGATGATGATGCTGATGATGCTGATGCTGCTGCTGATGATGACGATGCTGACAAGGAGGATGATGAGGAGAGGAGGAGGATGAGGAGGAGGAGGAGGAGGATGACAGGGACGAGAGGTAGGAGGTGGATGACGACGATCAGCGGGATGAGGGGATTCTATGGAGGTGAGTACCCACCTAAATGACCATGATCCTGATTTTGATTGTCTGTGATGATGCACACGTCTATGCCGAGGGGGGGATAATGAGGAGGAGCAGGATCAGGATGATGATGATGAAGTTGACGATGACGGTGATGATGCTGCTGCTGCTGCTGATGATGATGATGATGATGATGATGATGTTGTTCAGGATGGTGATGATGACGATGCTGATGCTGATGCTGCTGATGATGGTGATGATGATACTGATAATGATGACGCCGATGATGACGACGACGATGATGACAAGGATGCTGCTGATGCTGACGATGACGATGATGATGCTCATGATGGTGCTGATGATACTGAGAAGGACGAGGAGGAGGCGGAGGAGGAGGAGAAGCCTGTGCTTATTTTTGCTCAATTAGTCAATCCCGGGACCACAAGCACCCTTACTCAAAACACCCTTTTTTGGGTGAGTACGATGCGGTGTATGGTTTTGGTGATCGCTGCCTCGGTACTGCATCTCATTCACGGCCACCACCTACTTAGAGTAGCCTACATTGCATGTCCACAGTTACCACCTTACACGCGGTGCGAGTACGCGAGAGCACCACAGCGATGAAGGCTCAGGAGCCTGTCTTCGTATGATGTGGCGCACAATTTCGCCTGTGCTCCGAAGCACTCCGCTGGCCTGCTTCCTAGTTTGGGAAGGTCAGCAGGCTGTCGGCCGGTGAAACTCAGGATGCTGTTGTTAAGCTCACGGTCGAGGTGGAGGACGAGCATGTGCCGTGGGAGCTCGAGGCCGCAATGGCAAACCATTGCCGCTGAGGACGACGTGGGCGAGTTGGCCGAGCTGGTGCCCTTGTCCTCTTGCCCAGGGCTTCTTCGGCTCGAATAAAAAGGGCCCCTGCGAGAGCCCTGGGCGATATCCCCCCCCCCCGCGCCCCGCATCCCTCCGATGCCACCTCTTGCTGTCGTTTTTTGCTGCTTCCCGCCCGTGGATCCTCGTGGAGGCCCCTCGTGGCCGGAGCCCTGGCGTGCTCTCGGCAACACCCCAACATACTGATACTAGATGTGCGTCGCCCCCCCCAGGGGCGACGCGCGCACCGAGAAATCTTACAGCATATGCGTCGTGGCGGGCGCCTTCTGGCCACACCGCTCGGGAAACGGCATACTACAAGATGGGCGTACTGTATGTTCGGGTCGGACGCGCGCCTCCAGGGAGGACACATAGTATTAGTATGTCCATGTGCGTCCCATGCTCTCCCCGCGCCCCGCATCCCCCCCCGCCCCGCGTCCCTGGGCGATACCCCCCCCCCCCCCGCGCCCCGCATCCCTCCGATGCCACCTCTTGCTGTCGTTTTTTGCTGCTTCCCGCCCGTGGATCCTCGTGGAGGCCCCTCGTGGCCGGAGCGCCCTGGCGTGCTCTCCCCCCCTCCGCGCCCCCGCGCTCCGCCGGTGCCCGTGCGCGCGCGGGCGCCCGGGCGGCGGCAGCGGCGTCGCGCGAGCGGCGCCGCGCCAGCGGCCCGGCGGCACTGCGCGGCGAGGCCGCCGGGGGCCCCGCCGCGCAGTGCCGCGCGGGCCGCTGGGTTGAGCCGCTGCATGAGCAGGAGGAGGAGCAGG